GGAAACACGAGAAAATACTGTAAATATGGGGCCCCCAGGGCGTTCCACCCTCAAATTCTAAGACTCATTGTTGCGTGTCGAACTTATCGAGTCTAAGGTTGTTGACGAATCAAGGGAATCTTGACGCAATGCCCCCGGCTGCAAGGCCGGATGGATCAGCTTAACGAGACGGGTTCATCACCGTAGGGCTCAGTCACCAAAATAGATCTTGGAATCGGAATTTGCAGCAAGCAGCATGCCTCCGTGCAAAGTCATGTGCAAAGAAAAAGTTACTACAGTGGTCTACGGAGGCTATTATAGTCACGTCACGGCTACGGTTACTTGTCCCAACCGTCTTGTCAGCCCCTGCCTGGTCCAGACGATTGGCCGAGCAGTACGCCTTAATCACCTGACCGGGTTCAGCGATGACTTGGAGCAGTTCGGGGATGTTCGGCCCTTGCCGCAGCCGGCCAAGCTCATTTTCAGAGTTTGTGCCTTTCGCAATCACCAATCACCCGTACGTTTTCGTGCAAGGAGCTGTGCCGTAGGTGATGATGTTGGGAGGCACTCCCTGATCTGCCATGTCCTTCGCGCGCGAAGAGAGCCGCAGCTTGCGAGTCTGCAGCACAAGTAGAATCGCGACTTGTCGTAAGCGCTACCTACTCGAGCTCCAGCACTGCCCGGCTGCGGTAGTCTTCCACGTTGCAGGTGCCCGTTCATTGCACAAGCGTCGCTGCACTACTTCACGAACAGTCTGATTCAAATTGTGACTGTGAGATCACCTGGAAAATCCTGGAAACGGCAGGATGAAAATCCACTAATCCCCGAAGCTCAGACGAAGAGACACTGATAGAGCACGACACCCGGCTCCTTCAGCAGCGGCTCGGCCCGGCTGATCTCGCCACTGCGTGCACAAACCTGAGAATGAATCTCAGGCTCACAAAGCGATAACTAGGTGACTACTTGACGACGACGACGACGACTACTGCTGCGACAACTTACTACCGGCAATCCGACTGCAACTGCTGCTACTGCTGTTGGTGCGAGTGCTGCTACTGCTAATACTGCTAGTGCTAGTACTGCTACTGATAGTGCTGCTACTGCTAGTGCTGCTAGTACTGCTAATGCTAGTACTACTACGGCTAGTACTGCTAACGCTAGAACTGCTACGGCTAGTACTGCGAATGCTAGTACTGCTACGGCTAGCTGCTTGTATTCCTACCGCTACTGCTACTGCTCCTGCTGCTGCTGCTGCTGCTGCTGAGGCTGCGACTGCGACTGCGACTGCGACTGCGACTGCGACTGCGACTGCGACTGCGACTGCGACTGCGACTGCGACTGCGACTGCGACTG